TCTGTCTGTCTGTCTGTCTGTCTGTCTGTCTGTCTGTCTGTCTGTCTGTCTGTCTCTCTCTCTCTCTCTCTCTCGCATTCTCTCAAGGTGTAGTAGATATCTCTTTTGTTGCTGCTCTTATGAATACAATTGCTGTTGCTAATGTTGTTGGGGTGTTGTAAAATTGAAAGTATTATTGATTGAAAGTTATGTCTAATAGAGCGTTCAAGAGTGAAATTCTGCCTGTTGGCTTTCACCAGGGTGCCCATTTGAACAGAAGCGACGATTCCTGGTCGACCTGATCGGTGACCTGACGAGGGAGAGAAAGAAGGCATTACAGGATGCTGACAATCAAGCTGAGTGAGTGTTTGGAATGTATGGAGGGAGGGAGAGAGAGAGAGAGAGAGAGAGAGAGAGAGAGAGAGACACAATTAGGCCATTTAGGAGGCTGGCCTTTACCCTACCTCCCAGGATCAACCAGACAGAGGGAGATGCTCGATAAAAAATCACCCCACTCGGGAATCGAACTCGGGTCTCCTGCGTGCGACAGCAACACCAAAGAGCCCGATTGACATGGATGTATTATAGGCAATAAACAAAATAATATGTGAGGTAGCGTGGGGGAATCGGGCTCTCGTCAATTTTTGGGCATGTAGAGTTATTGCTATCATCTTCAAGCTTGTTTGCTTGTCTTTATTTGGATGAAAAAAATATCCATTTATCTAGATTTATGCAGCTCATAGTATTGTTTTAGTGATTCCTTATTTATTCCTTAAGCTTGTGCTACCCTGCTTTCTCGATTTTTCGCTTGGGCTTGTCCAGTATCAAGCCTTATATTGAGCTGGCAGAAATCTGGCCATGGTGCCAACGCTACAGGATGACTTAAACGCCCAACCTTCAAGCTATATTTTTTTTTCTCTTTTTTCTGTTTCCATGTCAATTATTTTGTTTTCGCGGTGCTATTGCCACAATCGCATTTTCTGGTTGTTTTATTTTTCTTCTTTGCCAATAGAATAAATGCTAAAAGCTTTTGATCTCTTCAAATATTCCACCATTTTCCTTGCATATAGTTTAGCAGCCATGTTACGCTGTGCGCTTTCATCAATATTGTCCTTTCATTTCTTAGACGCCTACTTGATGCTTTTTCAGGCTTTGAATAAGAATAAAAGATTGTGCACTAGCATGACTTTAAGGGGGCACCTTAATCATAAATGAAAAGTAACTCAAATCAACGAAAAATCCCACCAGCAGCCAACCCCCAACCAAATAAGCAGCAGACGAAAAAAAAAAGGCCAAAACAAATTCAAGAGTATGTATCGCAACCAAGCCAGCCCCTGTTCTCGCAAAGAGGTAGCCAGAATCCAGTGAAATTAACGTTGACAATAATTTTTCGGATGAAATAATAGTAATAATACTAATACACTTATTTGCATAATGAAGAGTTCGCGCAGAGGTTCAGGGGACGTAATCAAGTGAGAATTACTCTCACAGAAAATCTATGTTCAGTTATCTCCCATGAAAGAGCGTGCACGAGAAAGGCAGAGAGAGA